GCCTCTGCCCTCAGCTACATCTCATCTCCTTTCAAATTTAAAATTTATTTTCATTTTTAAGACAAAGTCTCACTGAGTTGTCGAGTTGCCCAGGCGGACCTCAAACTTCCAATCTTCCTGCCTCAGCTTACCAGAGTGCTGGGAATACAAGTGTGTGCCACCAGGCCTTGCTAATTGGGTTACCAGTTAAATACACTCCTTTGATTTCATGCATGTGTAACTTCTTGATTTTAAATTTTGATGTTAACTGATTTCTACCAAGAGGGACTTCCAGCCTTCTCTGCTCTCTCTCCACAGAGCACTGTGACACATACAGCTATCCATTTCTCATCCTCGCCACCCAGCCACACAAGTGGATTACAATTCAGTTCCTCTAATGTGATGCTCTCTGTGCTTGGGGTGGCATTGTCAGAATGTCATCTATTACATCAGACTGATGCTTTCTTTTGACTTTCCTTTGCATTAGATATCCCAGTGGCTTCCTCAGTAACAGTATTTGGAAAATAATTTTCTGATAACTTGAATCACTCTAGAGTTTGAGGTTGGGAATCACTGTCATTCAAAGGCCAAATCTCTTCTAGCTCCAAAGCCATTCTCATCTGAATACACGATCCTTGTTTAAATTTTTAGAAATTTATAGCATCTTCTTTGACTCCAATGTTCTGAAATTTTACAGTAATGTGCATTGGTTTGGACATGTGTTCATTCATTTTTCGGGGAACTTTGTGGCACCCACAACACACAGCTTTGTTTTTTGAGACTAAGTCTCATTATGTAGTTCAGGCTGGCCTCAAAATATGGCAATCTTTCTGCCCCAGCTTCTGAGTGCTGGGACAAGAGGCATATACTACCACACCGGTTTCCATGGGCCCTTTCAATCTGGAAACATTTAGCCTTTAACTGTGTGATATACTCTTGGATTACCTCTGCTTCTATTTCTTCTCCTTTATTGCTTTACCTCTGTTTCTATCATTCCAACACTGAATTTTCCAAACTGGTCCTCTGCCTAATCTTTTCTCTTCTAGTTTCCATTTTGGTTTTCTGCTTTTTATAAATTTTCCACTTTATCTTCCATACTTTTACAAAGTGATTTCTAATGTTTTAAACTCTAAGAGTTTTTTGGATATTATTCTGTTGTTGTGAAAGCATCTTTATTATCTCTTTGATAAATTAGACTGCAAGTGTGTTGTGGTAGTTAAGCTTGTGTGGTTAATGTCAACTTGACTGGCTTGGGATGTTGGCTTGGGGATTGGCAGGACACCAACAGCTGTTTGAGTAGGTTATAAAGACAGGACTTTGGGTACTATATGTGGTCCCTTTCTCTTGGGCAGTGTTCCCCTGCTCTGCTTTTGGCTGTCATGAACTGCTCATCTTTGCTACACCATTCCCTTCCACCATGATGTTTCTGCCTTGGAGCCAGCTGACCATGGACTGAATTCCCTGAAACTGTGAGCCAAATCAAACCTCTTCTCCTTTAAGTTTTAAGTGTTGGGTATTGTGTTGCAGCAATGGGAAAGCTGATGAATACACTTGTCTTATGCCCTTGGTGATGTAGATGGTAGTCCCTCATTCTCAGGCTGCTTTGTGCCAGTGATGGTGAACCTTTCAGAGCTTTCAATGATACAAAGAGCTCGCTGTGGCAGGCATGCCATAGGTTCACCACCACTGCTGTATGGTATTTGTTTTAACATTTGATTGCATGGTAGAGGATTTTCTCAGATTTTTCATAGTCCTTGGTTTCCTGATAAGAGGAGGGGAGATGAGAATACTGCTTGAGGCACACACATGGGGCCTAGTGAAGTAGGCTTGACAGAGGGATCAGGCCAGGGATTACTTAGGAGTTCCTCTTCAAGGGCACCTTAAAATCTTTCCTCCAGGGGTCAGCTTCCCCAGATAAGATCTTTCTAATTTCCTTTCCTGGAGGGTAAAGGCTCTCAAACTTCTGGATTTCTAGGGAATATACACACGTTATTTCTTCTTCCTCCTACTTTCCATACAGAACCTCTGGGCTCTAGAGTCCCAGTCTCTTTCAGTCAAGAAGCCACTGTAGGGCTGGGGATTTAGCTCAGTGGTTCCGCCACCTGCCTCAAAAGTGCAAGGTCCTGGGCCGGGTATCTAGCTCAGTGGTTTTGCCGCCTGCTGTGCAAGCCCAAGGACCTAAGTTCGATCCCCGGTACTAAAAAAAAAAAAAAAGAAAAAAGAAACCACTGTACTTTACTCTCCCCAGAGAATAAAAACTTAGCTGGATAGGGGAGAGGCATTCACTTAAAGAGAGGCTTCCTTCCTAGGATTTTAGCAGCTTCTTAAAATGCTTATAATCAATTCTACTTATTTTAATATTCCCTTTGACTCCACTGAGATACCAGCTGCTGCTAATTTCTGGGCCTCTCCAGTGTACACTGTCTTGGCTCTTGATTCGCTAGCATGATATAAAACTGCTAATTCAAGTCACCACATGTACTTTCTAGCACCCAAAATAGTCACCTCAGCCAACGTGGATATGTACTTAAACAAACCATGGTCTCTTAATAGTACTAGTGGGGCTTTGGAAAAGAGCCAAATTAACTATTTTTCTGGAATCTCTACTTTTTTATTTTTAAACACTCAAATGACTTCAGTCTACCTGAAATCATTTCTCTAAGATAATATCTTAGTGACTCTGGGCAAATTGTTCAAACATACATAACATGTTCAAAAATGTAATAACTTCAATATTCAAATATTGTGAAAAATAGGCAAAGTGTCATGTGGCCATCCATACGTGCCGTATTTAAGGTCTATACTATCTTTTTATACAAAGATACTAGTTCACTATTAATAAAGCAATGCACTGGAAGATAAGACTATTTTCTCCTTGTCCTCCTTGTCCCTTATTTACAAATCAGCTTCTGGGTTACAGATATAGTGCACAGATTTATGCTTTTCCGTGATGAGTGATCATCAATCAATAAATGAAATGTAGTAAGTGATTCTAGCCACCTTGTATCTTAACAAAACAATGAAGGCTTTATGCCATTGGGGATGAGCTGTGTGTATGCAACTGTATATGAAATTTTAATATAGTTTATATCACCTTCCAAGCATCCGGATTATGTTAATAGCAAGTTAGCAGACCACATCATTCAGAAGCCACAGGAAATTAATATTTCTGAGAAGTTAGGAAATTGGATGCTATTTTAGAGGGTAAATATCCAGATCCTAATGAAAAACACTGATAACATAGTACTTACTATCACCTTTAAAGTGTTTGGGAAATATGAAGCTTTCTTTTCACACCTTCAGACTGAAAGCACCACACAGCCCTGCAGGGACTCCTTAGCTCCAAAAAATGCTAGGGCCCTACCATCATCTAGGATTCAGGAAACCTGGTCCTCTAACTAGTTTCTTCCCAGGTTCTGTGACCTCGGGCATGATATTCAGGCCTGCATGGCCTCTATTCATGCATAAAACTATAATCCCTACCATTCTTTTACCCTTACTTCCATTGCTGGCACAGAATCAAAAGTATATAAGTAAAAAACAACTTTTTTCTTTGAACAACTTAAATATTAATTGAACATTTTTTGCCCTGGTGCCAGAATTTAGTTTGAATCCCCATCAACTGCATAAAAATATTACTGCTAAAATTATCAATTTTAGCAAGAAATACGATAATCAAAAGTATATTTGATGTAAGTGTACTTTTAAAAAATTCCAAACTGTCAGATAATGTAAAACTCCTAGGTAAAACAGTTATTTTAAAAAGTTTTAATCTTTAGGTTTAAAAATTTCATGAAGAGACTTGTTGGTCAGGGGAGATGAGGCACAGAATTATAATTTTTTAGTATCACACATGATCAAGAGCTCATCTATAAAGTAAACTAATTTTTACAATATATTTGCCACAATGTTTAGTCCTATAGTGAGCTTCATTGTACCACAGAATTTTTTTCACCTTATACAGAGATTTTAATAAACTAAATTGGCAATTAAAATGAGTAAGGTAAGCCTTTCATTCTGCTCAGAATTAGCATAATATATTTCTGCACTAGGATTTATGTGTGTTCTGTATGCTTTGATCTATTGGGCCTTCATTCAAACCCTAGCTTTATCACCATCTTGCTTGGACTCCAGGCAAGACATTTAATTGGGGGTCAGTAGCCTCTCTTCAAATGTGCTGAGTATAAAATAAAATCCAAAGTATTCGAAAAAGAAAATAGGAAATTAATATATGAAATACTGCTGCTGTGGCTAATTAGCTCAATTAATTACTTAAATTCGTGCTGCAAAGAAGAGGACTGGGTCCCTACTGTTTCATTCCATATTTTTTTCTCTGAGCCGCATCCTGTCTTCACCTCCACCGGAAATACCCTCCTTCATCATCTTTCTCAGGCTTTGCTTTTAACTACATATCAGAATGGAAGACTGATTGGGTTTTTATGTTCGTGTCAGGCTTTTCCTCTCGTGGAGCAACATCAGGAAAACAAAGCCCAACTGAAGAGCTGGTGGGTGCAGACTGGAATCCCTGCGCGGCCGGCTTCCAGAGCCTACAGGTGGGAACGCTCACACCCGACGGGGACACAGCGAAGAAGTCGCAGCTCTCAAAAGCAGAGCGAGACCTGCACTCCTCGCGAGCCGTGCTTCCTTTAAAGTCTACTCGCTACCAAAGCGCGTGGAAATGCTAAGCAGGTGTTGGGAAAACCGGGAACCCCCAATCCCAAGTGTCTGTAGTGTCACTACTGCAACACACACAGGAAACTGGCTAGGGGGTGGTGCCGGCATCCAACCAACCACGAGAGCAGCCACAGAGAGCCGGGGATGTCTCTTGGCAGAGAAGGCTGCGACGGTGGCCTCGGCTCGGCCCGAGTGGGCTTTTGCTCAGGCCAGGGTGAGGCAGAAACGGTGTCTCCGCGATGCACCAGGAGAATCCCACCGCGGCCACAGCTCTGCGGCACGCAGTCCCCGGACGGTCCCTCCCCGTCCCCTGCCCCGGCAACAGCGCGCGCCCTGGGGTCCCTTACCATCCTGCAGGACCAGGGTGGGCTGCACCGCCTGCACGCGGAAGTGCCTGGCCCTCCAGCCGGGGCTGGGCGCCCGCACCACCTCGCTATCCGAGAGCCAGGTCACCGTCTCAAAGTTGTCCCCCCGAGCCAGGGCTTCGGCCTCGGCGTGGTGCACGGCCACCTGGTCGAACTGGTAGAGCCCTCCCGAGTGGTCGAAGTGCACGTGGGTGGCCACTGCCAGCAGCGGCCGGCGCGCCGAATCCTCCTTGGCCCCACGGTCCTGCAACAGGCCGGAAGAGTACAGGTACTCGGGGAGGCTGCGCAGCCCCAGGCCTGTGTCGATCACCAGGTCCTGCTCCGACCCCCGCACCAGCCAGATGTTGGCGCGGTTGCCCGACTCGTAGAAGCGTTCCTGGATCCAGAAGATGCCATCGCCCAGGGACTTGTGGGCGTACCACTCGAGCGCCGACATGCTGGGCAGGGGTGCGGCCAGGCGCGCGTGCCTCGTACGGGCAGTCCAGACCCGGGGCTCTGCGGCGGTGAAGGGAGGTGCGGCGCTCGGAGCCCGCAGCCGGGGAGAAGGCGCAGAGCGAGGGGCGGGGCCGCGAGGGCGGGGCCGGAGGAGGGGGAGGGGTGCGCGCGGGGGCCCCACAGCTCTGAGCATGCGTTATGCTCGCTCCCGCCAGGGCCGCTGGGAGCTGAGGCAGTGTTACGGCGCCGGCGAGCTTTAGCGCACCTGTCAGCTGCAGCGGACTGGAGACCCAGGAGGCGGCCCTTTCACCAACCAGGGGTCCGACTGTCGGGGACGGAGCGCCGCGTGGGAAGCCCCGGGCCGCCCCCAACTGGCCGGGCGCAATGCGCCCTCTCCGCCAGCGCAGAAAAAGTCGGGCCCCGCGCGTCGGGCGACGAGTACGGCGCCTGCCAAGGGCTAAAAAGCTCCTGGCCCAGGGGGCGGGGCCCAGCTGAGGGGCGGGGCCGGCCGGCAGGGCTCGGAGTGTGCTCCCTGGCCGCGTGCAAGGCGGTGCGCGTGTCTCCCAGGTGCAGCCTGCGGCCCCATCCGCGCTGCTCGCACCCCCGGTTGCCCGGCCGGCATTTGGACTACACAGCTCTTGCCCAAGGCTGGAGACTTAGTGAGCAGGTAACATGGAGCCTTGGAGGAGCCGGGAGGGGATGGCGAGGCTAGAGGGAAGTCAGAGGGGGGGGGGGGGGGGTCGCTGAGGGGCGGGAATTCTTCAAAGCGAGACGTTGGGAATTTTGTAAAGTCCTGTCCACATCTTACATTCTGCTCTTCCGGGGAGCCGCGAGTTAGATGGGAACTGAGGCGCTCACTGCTGGTAGACTTTCCGAATCCGGCGACTTTACGGTTGCTTCAGGCATTGCCTTTGCCGCAGATCGCAGCTAGGGACAGACCACTTGGTCTGTTTTCTTGACGATTGCCGCTTTACCCCTAATCTTACGGAGCGGGAGTGCTAACTATGGTTTGTCTTTTTAAAAACCTGACATTCGGCATCTCTTTCCCTTTAGGGGGGTTCTTTGCTCTTGGAGCGAAGTAAAGAAAGTAAGTGGAAAAGCTCAACTAGAGAAAGGTGCAGCACCTGGTGAGGAAGGGAGACGTGGTAATGACTGGGTGTGGCCTGGCCAGCCCCCAAAATGCCCCACCTTGAACAAGTCCGCAGCCCTGCTGCTCCCCCGCTCCTAGCAGCTGATGCGTATGTTTAGGGATCTCTGAAGCCTGAATAATTCCCTTGAGAACTTGACTAATATCCCTCTTTAGCCAGGAGAGATTATAAAGAGGCCCGTGAGACAGCATTATAAAAGAAAATCGGGCAAACCCTGATTGTGGCGGCTAGTAATAACCCTTCGGGGAAAGAGAAGTACTCTCCTCCACTCCCCCCTCTGCCTTTGGTGGCGGTGATGCCTGTGTGTTTTGTTCCGCTAGGTGACTAGGTGGGCACTATGCAGGTACTCAATCGAGGGCCACCCTTAAGCGCAAGTTCCTGAGCCAGGTGAAGTGTGAAGAACGGGATTGTGTAAAAAAAGTCATGATCTGGATTCTCAGGAATTTGAAGATATTTAAGCTGGGCATGTTGGCACACGCCAGTAATCCCAGCACTCAGGAAGCTAAGGCAGGAGGATCCCAGGGAGTTTGAAGCCAGCCTGGGCTACATAGTAAGTTCAGTGCCACTTGAACTATATAGGGAGACCCTGTCTCAAAAAACCAAAAACAAAGAATTTGAGGGATGTTAATACCAGCGATATAAGGCAATATAGATGAACCACAGAGTAGGTAAAATGAAGTGCTGTAAGGATATAGATAGGAGGAATTTTTGAGGAGTAGCATTTTGCTAGCTTTGAATGGTTACTATTAGGGCATCTCAGCAGAAGCGACGCTCTCTGTAGTTTCGTATTTTCCCCCTAGGCAGAAGGGAAGCACTAGAGGTGAAGTCGAGTGATATCCTTCTAGGCCCTGAGCTCAGCAGTAATTCTCTCCATTACGGATTTTTGCCAAACCGTGGTTAGTGATAGGGCATAAAAATGTGACTAAGTCTCCAAGGAGACTTGCACACTTACAGGTCCCTCTGCTTTTCTGTCACCTCCCCTAGATATCCTTTTCTGCTTCTCTGGCTGGCTCTGCCCCTCTCTTCTGTGAGGTTTCTGCTCAAACATTACTAAGGCAAGACACTTCCGCTGTCTTTTCAACAGTAGCACTGATGTTTCCCGCCTGACCTGTCTTCACATCTTCCTGTAAGATGTGTTTGGCCCATTTCCCAGACTAGAGTATGAGCCCCAAGACAGCAGAGATTTTGTCTGGTTCACTGCCATGTTCCCAGGCCCTGGAAGACAGTGACACTGCAAGTGCTCAATGAAGGCTTGGATGGATGATCCAAGGCTCTCAGACAAGAACTGCCAGTTGCAACATGATAGCAAACAGGTTATAAAAAGCGGAGTAGTATTTGGGAAACACAGAGGGGAGAGGTAGGTGGAGGAAGTGGTCATTTCATGACACCTTACAAGATGCCAGGGCCTTTTCTGGTCGATGTGGCGGGAGTAAAACTCCGCGAGAAGGGCCAGGGTAGCAAGTGTGGGGTGCATGTACTGAGAGGCAGAAAGCAGGACTACAAAGCTCTGTTAAGTGAGGAGAAGGACATCTCCAGTGCCCGAGACAGGATCCAGAGGAGGTCTGGCCTTGGGAAATGTGTTCCAATTTAGAGGGCAGAGAGAGATGTGGAGGGCTGAAATTAACACAGAGCTGGAGGATGGGGAATGAGAACACAGAGCTGTTCTACCTACACAAGGGGCTCAGAGCAGGAGGACTGTCGCCTCCTGATTGGCACAGTGTAAGGCCACTCATCCAGGAGACTGACCTGGCTTTCACACCTCCCTGTGATCTGTGCCTGCTTACTTTTGTGCGTGTAATTATTCATCTAGCTGATATGTGTAAGACAGGGATAGGATACCTAAGTTACAATCAAAACTCATTACATTTTTGGGCTGGTAGACATTTCAGAAATTAGTTCAGCCTAAGGAGGAGGTTGCTTTTATAGTTCGTTATAATGGACTTTCATATTTCCACTCTGGGATGCTTGAACTATACCTGTTTTCCATTCTCTCAGATCAGATTCTAAATAGGAGTTTTCAGGAGGCATCTTGAAACGAAAGGGCAGTGCCATGTTTTAAAATTTAGTGTATTTTGCAGTTACTAATTCATTTCATTGATTGAAGCCATCTATGGGATTCAAAAGGTCTTCAGCCAACCCAGATGCGTGCTCCAGGCGGTGTGGTGTAGATTAGGAGAGAACGGAGAGTTTCTTCCAAGACCATACCATGATCCTTTCCTGCCATTGATAAGAACTGATTTTGTATCCTTTGGTTATCGGTTAATCTCACTTTCTCTTTTTTTGGGGGGGGGGGCTACCAGGGATTGAACATGGGACCTTGCGCTTGCGAGGCAAGCGGCAGCACCACTGAGCTAAATCTCCAGCCCAGTTCGGTTAATCTCTTAACTGAACTTTCCTCTTCTATAAAATGGGAGGTTTAATCTACACTGGTTTTTAGGTTAAACATTTGCAGTTCCCTGGGATCTCTGAAGAGCAGTGAGGCCCAAATCCTTCCTGTGGAGATTCAGATTTTGCTGTTCTGGGCTGGAGCCTGTGAGTTTGTTTTTTGGTTTTTGATTTTTTAACTTTATAGTTCAGGAAGTTTAGAAAAACAAAAAGACTTTGAAAGTAAACTAACTGAATTTTACTTCTATGGATAAATTTGCTGTGAAGTTGTACATACAGTATCCCTGCACCTGGGAGGCTAAGGCAGGAGGATTGCTGCAAATACAAGGCCAGGCTGAACTACATAGCGAGACGCCATGTCAGAAAGAAAATCTGTGGTCCTTGAATAAGGAAAGCTTAAAATTAATTGTGGAACAGTTGATGCATAGAAACAGTGTGCTGGACAGTGAGGGCTATAACATCTCCGCTGCTAACAAACAACAAACAAATGCCTTTTTGAAAAGGCCCACTTACTAAAAAGTTATCTGCATTTCTTCTAGAATTGAAGTGTGTAGCAATGTACATCACCTCAGTTTTTAGAAATCCATTTATTTTAAGAGGAGGGTCCTTCTCAGGGAAGGGTGGGATGCAGTGGCTTACAGATGTCAAGAGATCTCACGGGACACTAAGGGGAAGGGGACAGGGCAGGTGGGGAGGGAAGGTGTCGGGCTACAGGGGAGGGACTGGTGGGGCGGGCAGGCTGCAGCCACCTTCCAGGGGCCCTGCGCATTTAGGTGGGGACTTGGATTTCATTCTAGCAATATCAAAGCTGTGCTCTAGGTTGAATCATGTGAATGAATCAATTGAACAGAGCTGCCATGAAGTTTGCAGTTAATCAGAGTGGGTGGAACAGGACCGAGGTGCATTAGGGTGGAGACTCGGCAAAGGAAGGGACACTCCGGGAGAACCGCCAGCGCTAGCTGGCCACTGGTGCGGTGCCTGGGAATGCTCAGTACTGGTGGAGAGGTGGCTCGCTCTGACGGGCTCCGGGGGAAAGCCGCTAGAAACCCTTCCCTTAGGAAGTGTGGCAGGGTGACCAGGGTGGGGGCCAGTGGGTGAAATAATGTAAAGGATTTCAGAGGATGCTTAGGCCGCATGCAGGAGCTACCCCCGCCCCTGCAGGTACCCAATCAAGAAAGACAATGAATTAACCTCTCACTGGCGTACTGACTCTGGAGGACCCAACTTAAAAGAGATGGGCTGTAGGCCAGGATTCCGTGTAATTTTTAGAAGTATCTCAAGAGCTAGATGAGTTCTGCCAATGATGGTAGTTCGCTAATGGCGTGCATTTGCACACCCCGATTGCCTGACAACAATTGCAAGTTAGCTTTGGCAGGGATTGTTCTTTCTTAGCAGCTGTTCCACTGAGCAGTGTAAGCTGAAACCCTCTCTTTTTAGGGTGAGTTTTCCAAACAGTCATGCAAGGCGGCACACACCAGTAATCCCAACAAGTTCGAGGCAAGTGGGAGGCAAGTTTGAGCCCAGCCAGGGCAATTTAGCAACTTACCAAGACCCTGTCTCAAGAACTCAAAAGTGCACTTGGGATGTAGCTCAGCACACAGACTACCACATGGTCTGATGTTCAAAGATTCCTTCCGGTATAGCGGTTTGAGGCCTTGAGGTCCCCTGAGACCCTGTGTTTGTCAGGTCCTCAGTTAATCCCGAGAATCAGGCGAGCTTGGTGAACTTTACTTAGAATTGTTCCTAATTCTCAATTAATGGCAAATCCTGGCCTGGCCCGAAGCCCAGGGGTTTTCCCCATGCCTGCTGGTACCTGCACCTGTTTCTAGGTGCACGGAGAGCCCTTCTGCTCAGGGGTTTTCTCACTTGGAAGACCTGCTTTCTGTAGGCTCGGCATTTGCTTCAGTGACTCAGCAGTTGAAACAAGGCCATTTGGATATTTTCCCTCTTTTAATGTGGACAGATGGGATGTTCTTGGTTACTAAAATAAGTTTCCTGTGTGAACTTTGTTTCAAGGTAACTAAGCAGTAGGTGGGGGAAATTAATCTCTGGTATAGTTATCAGTAAGACAGAAGGAATGATAAAAGGTATATATTATTTTGCAATCTATAATGAAATAATAGATCTAAGCAGTCATGAGTAGCGGCTGCTAAAGTCATTAGGGTGAAAACCGAGAGGTACTTATGAGTGGTGATCAGAATTACATATGGTGAATGTTTAAATTTACAAATTGTTTTCTTACAGTAAAAGGTATTAATTATTATTAATGCCACTGATTCCCTCAAAACACTCCCCAACACTCACCTCAAACACTTATCCCTTTGTCCTTGCCACTTTCTGAAGCAGTTCTGGAAGTCCACATCTGTTAGTGTCTTTACTTGCGCTGTTATAGCCTCCTGAGTGTCCTGAATCAGTTTAAAACATTTCCGTTTCGTGGTCATTTTGACTTTGGGAAAAAGTCAGAAGTTCCACAGTGCCAGACGTGGTGAATAAGGTGGATGAAGACACACCATGATGTCTTTGAGAGCCTGCCTTTCTGTTGGACAGCACTTGACAGGACCATTCTCTGCTATTTCCTGTCACACCTCATAAAGACACTCATGCAATAGCACTTAACTGCTTCAGTAAGTAGCGAGGATAATGGGATGGGTGTACTCAAAGCGAGGGGGAGTGTTTGGAGGGGGATTCGTGGCAATGTGTTGCTTACAGTAATACATTTTTAAAGATGTAAACATCTTTAAAGACTCCAGGAGCATCCTGATGTGATGCCATAGGAAAAAGCAGGTGTCTCAACTATTCTTGCCAAAAAAAAAAAAAAATCAAACCTAAATCAGAGAGAACCTCTAATACCCAGTGCACATGTTTATTGGAAGTACAGTGAATAAATGTTAAGGCACATCTCGGGTATGCAGAATTTGGGATGCTGTTGCTTCTCTCGGGTTATGGTCTACAAACCAGCAATGCTGATGTCTCTGGGAGAGTCTGAGGAAATGCAGATTCCCAGGCTCCACTCAAGCCAGCCAAATCCGAATCTGCATTTAACAAGTCTTCTAAGGAATTTGCTTGTAACTTACACTTTGAGAAGCACTGCCCAGGACAGTGACCTAGTGTCTTCATAAATAAGAAGAAAAGAAGGGAAAGTGTTACATTTTACAAAAACCTTTGAAGATGTCAGATGTCACATGTTGGTTTTTTTGTATCTTGAACAAACTGTACAAAATGTGAAATTTGAATTTTGATTATACATAAGATGATAGTAAAGAATTATAAACTTAGACATGATGTTATAACTTTTTAAAAGTCTTTAACCTCCGGAAAAGATACATAATGAAGAATTTTAAATAATTTGAGTCTGGGAGAGGGAGAATGTATGTGTAAAATTAGTCAGATTGATAACTGGAAGCAGTGTGATGGACACCAGCGAGTTTATTACACTCTTCTCCCTACTTGTGTATATGTGAGCAGCCTGGTAAAAGTAAGTGCAAAGCCATAGAGTTGTACTTTACAATGACAACAGCAAAGATAATAAAATTATCCTTTAATGTTCAAGCAGTTGTGAGGGGAGACTTTGAAATGTGGAGGTAAGTAACCAGGAGTTGACAAAATGTACAATGTACAGTTGTGTCCGAAAAAGTTCCCAGTACCATAGCCATTTTATCAAATCATTGTCATACGGCCAGAGTAATTCATGGGAAAGAGGAAACAATATTTCATCATGCAAAGATGCTGAATATAGGATTTGATTTTTGTGTGAGCGGAGCTTAAATATGTGAGGGTGTTAAAATTACCAGTCATCGGCCTGAAGGTGAAATGCCTTCATAATGAGAGTCCCCACAAATGAGTTAAAAGTCGCACTGTCACATCCTGAGTGCAACTCGACTTACAGCAGTTGTAGTCATTTTACCTTTGGGACAGATTTCTTGAGATCACTGAGAATAATGTGTAATTTCAAACCTCAAAGGTGGCCCCTCTGAAGGCCCTGATTCTACAGGTGTATTTTAACTCAGCTGTTGCTTAGTGGCTGCAACTCCCACCAGAGCAGTTCTTCCCTGTACTCAGCGCTTATCCCGTTAGAATCAGCTGGAACACTGTTCAGACCACTGTTGCCCAGTCTTCATCCCAAGAGAGCTTGCTTCGATTGGTTCACAGACTAGCCTGCATCTGAGCTATCCCACGGGGCTTTTTAAACACAAACACGAACCTAAAACTCTCAGGTTGGGGATGTAGCTCAGTGCTGGAACACATGCCTAGCACGTATGTGGCCCTGGGTTCAGTCCCCAATACTGCAGTCAAAACAAAAACTCCTGTCCACCTCTGGGGGTTATTTTGTTTTTTAGGTCTGCCATGGGGTCCCACAGTTTGCATTTCTGACAAGTTTCTGGGATGCTGCTGCAGACAGCACTCTTGAGAACCACTGCTCTAGACTTTTAAGCTGTAAATGATCTAACGGCAGCCAAGGTAGGGACGTGTTTGGTTTGAGTGGTGGCCCTGTGATACAGTGAGTTGACATTGTTTAGGGTTTTGGACCAGTGTATTCAAGTTGTGGATAGTGGACAAATACGAAGCAGTCCTTTGTTGGCCCTAGGGAGTGTTCCTTTATCATTAATGTGGCAGAACTGAGGTGGGGACAGTCATGGCCTTTTTGTCCCAGCGGGACACCCGTGAAGAATGTAGCAGCTGTGTGAAGCACTGAGGCTCGTGTTCTTTAGGAAGGAGGGCAAAGGGCGGATGAGAAATTGGACTGGGCAGAGCAAGCAGAAATAGAAGCCACTCTGTGTCGTCTTCAGTGTCCAGAGGACGTAGCGAGACTCTGCTGGACTCGGGGGGGGGGGGGGGATGATAGTACTCCTGGTAGGAAGAGACAGGTAAGGAGTGCATGTTAGGGGTCACCTCAGTTGTGTGCAGCACTCCATTGGCAAAGCGTGTGGAGGAGTCCCTGTATGCACTGCAGGCTCACCGTGTGTTAGGGTGCAGTCGTGTCGCACAGGGCTCAGAAGTTGAGTGCAAGACTTGAGTATGTGGCATCACTACTGTCCCCACAGTTGAAGAGTGTACAGGTAATTTTTTCAAAAATTTTTGTTTTATTAGTCCATGTTTGCAGTACATGCTTACATTCATTGTGGGAAGTTAGTACATGTTGTGTCTAATTTATTTCACTTAACATGACCGTGAGGTAGATCCATTTTCCTACAAATGACTCCCAATTAATTAATTTATTGTGGTACTGGGGATTGAACCCACGGCCTTTGCATTGAGCTGCATCCCTGGACCATTCGTTTGTTTATTTATTTATTCATTGATTCATTTATCTATGTATTTAATTTTATTTTGACATGGGATATTGTTTAATCACTAAGTTACCACCACACCCAGGCGTCTTCATTTACCTTTAATTTAATGATTTCAGCTGTTTTCTCAAAAAATTTTTTTGTTTTGGTGTGGGCAGACCCCTTCAGAGTCTTACTGATCCCATTCACATTTCTAAAAGGAGGGTGTTGGGCTAGAGCTGAAGGATCCTTTGTTACACTCAAATTCCGGGATAAACATGTCAGTGTTAACTTCTGAAAGATGATAGTCTTCACGTTGATACACTAAAGCAAGGGACCATCCTCCCTCGTTGGTCCAGACTTTTCTTCTCTGTACCCCACATCTGTGTAAGGCCCTGTTGCCGGTCCACAGCGGGACAGAGAGAATCGAAGCTCATCGGGTGCCTGGCATTGGTTGGGCAGCGTCTCAGAGGAGGCTCAGGTGAGCTCCTGGTGAGGGGTGGAGGGCATCATCCCCACCTGCTGGACACTTCTTGGCACGAGGAGTCCAGCCGTTCTTCATCACATGTTTATTTCTTTGCATGTCTTGGTTTCCAAATGTATTTTAAATTGGCCATGTGGTATAAGAGGCAGAGTTTATATTTTGTTTCAAAGTGTTGATTTCCTTTTTCATATGAGCCAGTAAATCTTAATCTTTTGTCGTGTCTTTCAGTATTTGCCCTCTCTTCTGGTACAACTAGCTTTGATGGCTGGGAATAAGGGAAGAGGACGTGCTGCCTATACCTTTAATATTGAGGCTGTTGGCTTCAGCAAAGGTGAAAAGTTGCCTGATGTAGCGTTGAAGCCACCGCCACTGTTTCCTGTAAGTACCTTGACAGCCAAATTCTCCAAATGTGTGTTTTCATGTTTCAGAGAAGGTTAAAATTCTGGTTAGGGCTTGAATGCATATTACCACTGTAATATCCACAAGTATAAGAAGGTGAAAGAGATTGTTTCACTTACCTTTAATGTAAATATTCCCATAGTTCTTGGAACCTTTTCTAATTTTCAGTGCTTTCTTAGAATACAGAAAGCAATACTGTATAACTTCCCCTCAAATAAACTCGGTACTGTACTGTGTGAAACAGTAATTTTTAAATTCTTTCATCTTTTATGGCTGTTACTGATGTATTTCACTTACCAGAATATTTTGCAAAGTGGTATTAGGTTTTACAAAGGTTCGCACTCTGCCACCCTTTTACGTAGTGATTTTCTTTACATCTTATATCTATAAACTTTAATTTTGTTCCTTAGCATACATCTTGACCATTTTTCCCACTGGAAAAAACTGTTTTGCTATTTTCCTATTGTATCAGTCATTTTGAATTCTGTTAGTTCTCCTAATGTAGACATTTCTGCTGCATTCAGTGTTGCTTTTAAATTGCGTGAATGTGCTGCGGACCTAACTGGCATCATGTCTTCTGGTTTTGCTTTCCATTTAGTTGGACAGGTAAGCTTACATTTCCAGATGTGTCTGTGCTGCGGTTTAAAAAAGAGCAAGTAAAGAAACTCCTCTCTTCGCGGATCTTTTCCCTATTGGCATGGAAAAGTCCCTTGAAGGACTTGCATTGAGCAGCCCCGAGGGAGAGGTGCAGGTATTCACCTAGGGAGTCTCTGGCCTTGGCTCCTGGTACTTTGCTCTGTGGTACCCAGCGCAGCACAGCGCTGTGGCGCAATAGCGCCCCTTTGCCGTCCTTTCTCTCTCCGTGGTCTCTTCACCGCGTGGGAGGAGGTTCCTTCTAAGCCGTGGGGCCTCTCTCTTGCCTCGCTCCCAGCCTCACTGGCCCTTGCTCTGTCGGGCCTCTGCCCTGCCGCTTCCCGGTCCAGGACCCTCTGTCCTCCAGGCTTTCATGGACGGCTTCCTGGTTTTGTGCAGACTTCCGCTCCAAATGTGACTCCTCCCCGAGGCAGTGCACGTTTACCCGTGTAGGTCGGCCGCGTCCGCCCACACTCCCAGGTCCTCGCCCCTTCGCTGCCCTCCTTCCTTCATTTCCACTTCACTCCTGGCTGCCTGTGGTTGGACCTCGCTTGGCTGGGTGGCTTATTTGTTGTGTCTTTCTAAGCTCCACCTGAGCAGGGCTCTGACCAGCTCTTCACCCTATTTCCTGTGGTCCATCCCTGCCTGGCCTGGAGTTGGTGTTCGGGAAATCGTGGAATGAATGGGTAGAGTCTAATCACATTTGGAAATGTATCCTTACCGTGTACTTTGGGAGGTACTTTGTAATGAGCATGTATGTGTATAATTAGGTATAGAGACATGCACCTGTGTGTATGTGTGGGCTTTTCTTTTTTAAATGAAGCTTCAAGCATGGTACTGGCAAAAAAACAGACCCAGGGATTAGTGGAATAGATTAGAAGATGCAGAAACAACTCCAGACACACTCGGCCACCTCATCTTTGACAAAGGAGCCACACACCCTCACTGGAGGAAAGATAGCCTCTTTAATAAATGGTGCTGGAAAAACTGGGTTTCAACCTGCCAAAGATTAAAACTAGACCCATACCTATCACCATGCACTAAACTAAGATCAAAGTGGACTAAAGATCTAAATATTAAGACAGAAACACTAAGCTTGCTGGAACATAAGTTAGGTAGAACTCTTGAAGACATTGGCATAGGAAAAGACTTTGTGAACAAAACCTCAGTAGCATGGGAACTAGCACAAAGAATCAACAACTGGGATCTCATCTTATTAAAAAGCTTCTGCATTGCAAGAGAAACCACCAACAGAGCCAAGAGAAAACCTGCAATGTGGGAAAAAATTTTTAGCAGCTGTACCTCAAAGGTCTGCTATCTAGAATATATAAAGAACTTAAAAAAATCAGACCCCCTAAATTCAAAGACCCAATTCAAAAATGGGCATCTGAAATGAAAAGACATTTCTCAGACAAAGAAGTAAAAGCAGCAAATAAATACATGAAAAAAATGTTCAACATCACTGGTCATTCGAGAGATGAAGATGAAAACAACACTGAGATTCCACCTCACCCCACAAAGAATGGCTGCTATGAAGAAATCAACCAATAACAAACGCTGGTGGGGGTGTGGGGAGAAAAGAACCCTTCTCCATTGTTGGTGGGAGTGCAGACTGGTGCAACCACTGTGGAAATCAGTACGGAGATACCTT